TAAAATTATTTATTATCTAAATCTATAGCTTTATTTACTAGAAGAGATTAGCTTTAAAGATCTATTTATATATATTATCGATTATTATAAAATCGTACTAGAATACTAAGTCTAACTTCGTCTAGTAGTCGAAGATATTATATGAGATATTCGTTATTTCGTAATATCGAAACTATCTTATATTACTACTATAGACGAGATCGAATATCTTAATCTAATCTTAAGAATATTATAGTTATATTCGATAAATATCGTTATATCTATTCGTCTATTAATAATATTTATTAGTAATAGAATTATTAATAAGATAATTCGATATATTATTAGTTCGAAGCTTATATTCTATAAGAATTATAATCTTTTTATATATTTAAAGTCTATTATAGTAAAGATCGAGACTATTAAATTCGATATTAATCTTTTCTTCTTTAAATCTTCGTTTAACGAGAGTAATAATATTAATAATATTAATAACTCGCTTTTTCGCTAAATTCTTAGTAGAATATAAAATTAACTAAATCTATATCTTTATTAAAAGCTTTATTATATCCTTTAATATTCTATAAGAATATTCTATCGAAGACTTCTATTATCTTAGAAGCCTTTTATAATAACTCTTTAATTATTATAGTAGATAGCTTATTTTCTATTAATATACTAGAATAATCTATTAACTCTTTTAATATATCTAACTTATCTTATTATTCGCGTATTTCTTAGATCGATATAGAAACTTCTATTAGTCTATCTATTAAATTAAATAAATCTTTCTATTTAAATAAGTTAATTCTACGTTTAAGTATTTTAACTAATATACTATCTATAACTCTAGAATACTAGATAGAGTTCGTAGAACTTACGTTTAAATTACTTATATCTACTAAAGTAACGAGACTTTAAATACTAGTATTATTATATTACTATCGTTATCTTAATAGTATAAACTTAATAGATCTACTATATATCGATCTTATTACGTATCGAGTTTATATTATCTCTAATATTAAATCTATCTCGAATATATACTAGAAGCGTTAATCTACTTATATTAAATAATAATTATATAAAATTATTTAATAAGATCTAGATAGAGATATTTATAAACTTATCGAAGCTATTAATAAAAGACTTTTATAATAGAATACTTAGATAGTCGTAATTAATAAGATTAATAATTCTATCTCGTAAGATAAATCTCGAATTACATTTAACTATTTAAGAATTAGAAAAGATTTATCTAGCACTTATATAGAGCTTAGCTTAAAGATATATAATAATCTTTTAAATTTACGCTATAAGAGTCTCTTTACTATTAATCTCAAGTATATATACTATATTATAGCATTATATCTCGAAGATCGCTACTATTTTATCTTTATTATATTAGTTATTAATTAGCTACAACTTACTCGAATATAATAAGATTCGAAGTTAGTAGATTTTATTATAATAGAGTTAGAGTATCGAGCGTTCGAAGTCTTATTACCTTTATACTATAAGTCGTTATTCTTATACTTAGTAAATTACGAGTATTTATCTATACTAACTTTCTATATAGATAATTTATTTAAAGACTTTAATAGCTTTTAGAAATAATATAACTTTCTATAATATTATTTCTTACTATAAATTAAGTAAATTCGCTTAAGATTATTCTTTAAAAAGCTTTAGCTATTCGCCGAGTAAATTAAGGCCCTTAAAGTTATTTATTATATCGATAGTTTTATATCGATATTAGACGATCGAATTAAGAAAATTATTATATAGTCTATTTTCTTAGATTAATCTAGAGTTTAAGTATTTCTTAAAGTTATCGATATTACTCGCCGTTAAATAAAGAACTTCGCGAAGATTATAAAATTACTTATAAAGCTTACTAGTAAGATAGAGTAGAGATAAATATTATTAAAGTAGCTATTATTCGAAATCTTAAAAATTAAATATACTATATAAGTAAGTATATATAATATTAATCTCAATTTAGTCGTTTATCTATATATCGATATATTAGATTTTATAGAAGATCTCGTCGTTACGTAATTTTAATAAGTAGAGTCTATAAAAGCCTTCGATAATAGCGATATATTTATAAAGGTATCTATTATCTATAACTTTATAATGTTTATACTTATACGCCGTAAGTATTCTACGTATAAGCGAGAGCTCTACGTTATTATAGAGTTTATTAGAAAATATAATTATCTATATAAGTACTCTTACTATATCGCTATTATATATACTAATTATAAGCTATTTATCTATTTTCTAAAGTTTAATATTTATAAGAATTTTTATAATTATTAGATAGATTAGCTAAGACGTCTTAATCTTAAGATTAAATTTATATTAGATTATCGTAATAATATAGTAGATACGCTATTAAGAACTTTATTTATCGAGATAAACTATAATTAAATTTTATAGATAATGAAAGTCTATAATAGACTCGAGTAAGAAGGTTCTAGCTAAATATAAAAGAATAATAAGAGAAGATATAAAGTCTTTCTTAGCTTTCTATTTAGTACTAAGAAAGATAAAGTCGTTATTAACGATATAATCTATAATATTTTAGTCTTTACGTCTTTTACTATTATAGTATTATCTTAAAATAAAGTCTATTATAACTTCTTATAATATAAGAAGATCTATAGTTTACTCTTAGATCGATACGAAGATAATCTATCTAATATACTTTTACGTAAAGTATTTAATTATCGTATTTATAATAATATCTTATAAATCTATAAAAATAACTCTAAGATCTATCTCCTCTATATTTCGAAATACTTATAAAAGTATATAATTATAGTAGATATTAGATTAAAATAGATACTATAGCTTAACTTCGTAATCTTTACTATTAATTAAAATAAACTTAGAATATCGAGCGCTATATTAAAGACTACTTAATATACGCGTAATATAGTTCTAGTATACGATTATAACTACTATATTTTATTATAATTATATATCTATTTTAATTAATAGAAATAGACTTTATAGACTCTCTTAATACTATAGTAGTAGATAATAGATTTATTCTTAACTTAAGCTACTATATATCGCGCTTTAAAATATCTTTTATTTATAAGAATAATAATATTAAGAATATTATCCGATACTTAAAGTTATTCTTTATTATATATCGAAAATCTTATATCTTTTATCTCGATAGAGATTAATACTTTAATTATAATAAACTTTATAATTTTCTATAATATAAGAGTATAGTTATAAATTATAGTTTATTAGCGTTATATAAGTTTATCGAAATAATCGAGATTATAAATAGAATATTAAAATTAATTATTCGTAAACTTAATAGAAAGTAGAATATTAATTTAATAGATATTAATAGCTTAGTTAACTTACGAGTTATTAACTACTTAAAAGTATTATCTAAAGATATTATACTAGATTCTCTATTAGAGATATTAGCGATTATCGTTATATTAAAGACTTTATTAAATTATAATATCTATATATAAACTACTTAGCTATAAGATCTCGATTATAATAAGAAGATTTAAATCTATCTAAGATATTATATAGAGATATATAACGTTATATAAATAGTAGCTTAATAATAGAATAAAGATATAATTACTCGTTATAATAAGAGTATTAAATAGATAATATACTATATAAGCGAACTCGCTATACTCTATTAGAAGAAAGTCGATAAGCTATAATCTCGTTAACGTAGATTATTTAAAATTTTAGACTATAAAGAATCTTACGAATAAAGCTTTATACTAAGATAGCTTAATAATAAACGTATTGAAAATATATTTTATAGAGATTATTTAAAGATCTATATACCTCGAATAGATTACTTAATAGCGAATTTCTCTTTATCTCTCTTACTATAATAGTAGAATATTAGAAAGTCTTATAAAAGACTTTCTATTATCTAGAATCGTCTTATAAATAGAAGTATTAGATTAATACGATTATTATTATTATACTATACTATGATATATATTATATAATCTGCGATAGACTTTAAAAGCATTCTTTACTATGGTTGTTTGCTTTCTGCTACCTTTGCTTTCTACTACCATTACTTACGAATAGCTTTAGTCGCTAAGGCTCTATGCTTGTTTGTATGGGAGTAGTTATCAGGCGTGAAAGCCAGTCCATATGTAGTATAGCTTAGCTTGGTGGGGTATACCCTGCTGCAGCATCCTTCCATAGAATTCATCATCCTTGCCACCCACACCAGACTGGTTACCATTACACGACTCGTCCATGAAGCTGCAGCCAAGCAAATAGTATAAGGCCTAATAGTTACTTAATGGCGTTAGGGTGGACTCGAAATCTAGCCGCATGTAGGCAAAATGTGGTCTTCAAAATCTTTGCGGAACCTATCTACTACTTCAGGCCTGAGGGGTTACCAGGGTACAAAACCCTCTACCACACAATTCGCCAGATGGAAGCTTGAGAGCCTCAGTCATTTTGACACCTTTTGGCCCCAGCGTAGAGTCACCTTGGATGATTTTCTACAGGATTGAAGACCATTGACCTTAGAACATACTGCATGTTTCTGCGGGCAAAGTAAGGATACGGTACTCTAGAGTACCTAAACATTCATGCAATAGGGATGACTAGCCGAGGGATCGGAAGATCGTTCCTCCGCTCCGAGGCACCATCCACCGTGATTCCGTGATTGGCCAATGGGCTCGGTATCTGATTGTCTCGAGGGTATCCTTTTGTCCGCTTACAAATCCATTCAGTCAAAGGGCAGTAAGAAGCGTGGCAATGGGTATGGGTATCTATCTGATCTTCTCATTCCAACACTTCACAACTTTCTCCTGAAAAAAAGAAAAAAAGAAAAAAAAAGAAGATGTGGGCTGTGAGCTTCGACAAGGCTTTGTCCTTCCAAACTATCACTGGCCCACCGCATCAACCGTGACTCTTCCACGATGAAGCACTACACCATGTCAACTCATCTTCATTCTTCATGAGGACCAAGCCCAGGCATGGCCCACCCTTACAGCATGGCCGTCAAGGCTCTCCCAGCACATGTCGACACCGTCATCGTCGGCAACGGCCCCTCCGCCCTCATCCTATCCTTCATCCTCCACGGCAACACACCCTTCTACAACCCCACCAGTCCCCATCCAGATCCTATCCTGCACAAGAAGCTCTCAGAGTCGCCCTGCCTCCTCGATGTTGATGTGTACGACCTCACCGCTCACTTTGCAGCTTCGCGTCTCTTCAACTCATCCCAAGCCCTTCCCATCAATGTCCTCCTCGATACCTTGATCCGCCCTTTGGCCGATACAGTTCCTGAGGAATACAACACATGTTTGGAATGGAGGCTTGAGCCGGGGAAGAAGGTGCCACATGTGGTTTTGGGCGACACTGCCCAAGTTGGTGGGCAATGGGCAGACAATCCGGTATCCGCGAGCTGGGACATTGGAGCGTTGAGCTACGCTGAGATGCTGTCACTCCCAGGCTATAGCTTCGAGGAGCACTACAAAAAGACAAGAGATGGAGCGGTACCAAAATTCCACCGACCAACGCGACGAGAGGTCGCCGGATATCTTGCGGCATATTCTGAAGAGACTGGGATTCAGGATTCGGTCTACACCAATGTGGAAGTGGGAACCATTCGCAGACTTCACGCTGGCTTCCACGTCGGGTCGCACAACATCACATGCAGACATCTCGTCCTGGCCTCCGGCATCTTCTCCAATTTGATCCCTCCACGCCCGTCCTTACTTCCACTGCACGCCGTGCCTAGGCCCAATGTCTTGAGTGATGTACCATTGCTCGTCGTCGGCTCGGGTTTCACCGCTGCCGACGTCATCATCTCCACCCCGGCTAATCGCAAGATCATCCACATCTTCAAATGGGATCCTGAGAATCGTCCCTCGCCCCTCCGAGCATGTCACCCACGCGCATACCCTGAGTACGCGGGTGTCTACAGGCGCATGAAGCTAGCTGCAAAACAAGTCTTAGGCGGCAGCGGTAATAGCTCTCCGTTAAGGAGAAGAAAATCCAATCCCTTCTTCGCGGAGCGTGATTGGGACAACTTCTACGAGGGACTACCAAATACCTACATCAAGGACGTTGCGGTATCTGGCGAAACTGCATATGTCAGCCTAGAAATAGGAGACGGAACGATGCTACAAAGACAGATCTCCAATATGGAATATGTGATTGGAAGGCGAGGGTCTTTGAACTACCTCGACAACAGCCTTGCAAGGGAAGTCCTGGGTACGCTTGATGAAACAATGAATCCTCGACCCGCCATCTCCGGCCCTACCTTGAGGTCTAGAGCCGAGAAGAGCTTGGAACTCGCCCCGGGTGTTTTTGCCATCGGAAGCTTGACTGGGGACTCGCTGATACGATTCGCGTACGGTGGCTGTGTCTTTGCTGCGCGAGAGATCATGAGACGCACGGACTCTACCGCTGCCACCATTGGCAGTGCCGTACATTCTCCCTCAGAGGCCCCTTCGATCCCCACTGTTCCTCTAGGAGATCAGCCTGAAACGGGGCACTTAGACATCGTCTCCACCAATGGCCATTCTGATCTTCACCTACATAGAGCTATGCGCTCGTTATCGACAGACCGAGAGATTTCGGTATGCGAGCTGTGGAGGGAGTCGGGCTGGTGGGCAGGTGGCTGCACCTTGTCCTGATTGTTAGCCATTTCCTGTCTCTTGCCTTCCGTTCTCGATTATAACTCAGAGCACTCTTTGGGGTGAACGACATATACGCAGCGGAATTTCGACATCACACAAATCTAAAGTATATATTCATGTCAATATATTTTTATCACGCTTGTTTCGGACTGGGTGTCCCTCATGGATACCAGCCCCTAAAAAGGAGCGCCGACGACACTGTCACGTCATGTTACACACGATCTGTTTTAGCGATATGTTATTGCAGAGGATGGGAACGGCTGAGAGTTTCGAGAATATGTCATCTGTCTGCCGTGCCCACTCGTGATTGCTGTGCCTGCGACCTTCTGCAAGGTCCGAGCAAGATATTCACTACCCTTCGCCTTTTCCCGCAGTCTCTTCACAGTCCTTACATTAACTTTCAATTCATCCTCTCCCGACAAGCCCCATTTTACCAAACCATCCCCCCTTTCCATCTCAGAAGCAAAATGAAGCGTCCAACGTTTACGATGATCCACGATCGACGTCATCCCCTGCTTCTCCTTCTATTCAATCTTTCTAAAGGCTTCATCCCATGCCAGCTCATTCGCCGGCCTTGGCCTCACTCTCCGCTTTCTCCGGTTGAATTAGACCTTTCCTCAAAGTCAGCACATGGGTCAAGCTCTGCTTCGAACTCTCTATAAGCACCTTTTCCTTCGGGCTCCCAAAGTATCCCCCGCCCTCTCTCTCTTCCTGCCAAACGATACCCAACCCTTTCTCAGTCTCCCCTGCCATCTCCCTCTCCCTCTCCTCATCATCCAACTCAAAGCACGAACAAAGGCCCCCAAGAATGCTTCCAGCCCCTTTGACGAGCGACACAAATACATACCACGGCCGTCGACCTTGTATACACGACGCAAGAAATGTCGCCAGGAGGACAAAGAGCAAGACCCTGAGCGCAATGCCTATCCAGCCGAGGAGGATGAACTGCAAGATAGCAGAGTCCGACCAGCATTTTTCGAGGTACCGGAGCTCTCCGCCCTCTTGGCGAAAAGCTTCTTCAATGCACGCGGTGCTGTGGAAAATGTTGGATACGAAGCCGGCGGCGTTGTCCGTGGGAAGGGGTGACGTCGTGGGCTGCGTGCGTGACATTGTTGCTGTTGGTGATGGAGCTTTGTTCAAGGGAGATGATGCTGGCTGTTGGATGAGGTCCTGTCACGTATTGGTTTGGAGGAAGATAACAAGCGTTTTGCTGTTGCACCCAAAAAACAATTACGTCCTCGAAGTGTGGGAATTTGGTGTTCATAAGTTCGAAAGTCTTGAAATACTCTTTGGAGCTTCTTCCGTGATGGAGCTCTGGGGGTCTGCCCATTTGAGAAGGTTTGAGGAACCGAGCGACCGGGGCGTACCAGCCAACGCCAGGATTTTCCCCATCCAACTCGTATGTCCCATGGTATTGGTTCCACAAACTAAAACACCTGCATTATCCGCTCTCAAAGTCTCCAGTCTTCACACCACTCTACCTGACCCTCGTAGCCACCACCCCAATCACAGCGCCACATCGAAACCCTCCGCCCAAGCTCCCTCTCCCCACTTCAATCACAGCGAAAGCGTCCCATAACTCCTGCTCTCCAAAACCTCATACCTCATCCCGATCTCCCTCGGCTTCACCTCCCCCGTCACCAACCCCTGCTCCTCCTCCTGTCCCCGCCCCTCCTCCTCAGCAACCCCCACTCTCAGCACTCTTCGCCTCCCCCTCCTCTCCGCCTTCAACCTCGCGATCCCCTCCCGACTCATCATGCAGTAGGCACACGCGCCAGCGCAGAGAAAGGCGTGGTAGACGAGCAGGACCAGCAGGCAAGCGGCGCCGCCGACGGCGCAGACGACGATGAAGGCGAATTGGGTGAAGAGCCAGATGGTGTGGAGGCAGTCGAGGAATTCGGAGGGTTCGAGCATGGCTTTGCTGGGTGGGGATGAGATGGGATGGGATGGGCTGATATGGGAGCGACGGCAAAAATGCCAAACAAAGGTCGATGGAGTGGTGCAGAGAATGTTGGTCCGCTGATGAGAGAGGACAGTCTTGTTGCGAGGTGGAGTGAGTGTGGGCGGCTGGGTCTGGAATTGCGGAATGTATGTATATGGAGGGAGAGAAAGAGAGAGAGAAAAGGCTTCTTCGTTGGAGGAAAACTCAAGTCTGAATTTTGGAAGAGTAGGTGGGTAAAGTTCCCTCGAGTCAGACCTTGGCCGCAAAAGAGCCAAGGAGCTGGGGCTTCTGAACCATGGTATTGGGAAAGGCAGAGATAGCACGCATACGATGGAGTAGAGAGTGATGTCCTCGGCGGTCGGACTGCTTACGCTGACAGCGGATGAGGGTATGGTAGATCTAGCAGATAGTACTTTTTGTGATGTAATTGAATGAAGTACCATTTCAATTGAGGGTAGAGTAAGGAGGACAAGTAGAAGGCCATCGAGGAAGTTTGCGAGTCGATTTTATCAAGCCTCTTCTGTCGCCATCAAAGCAAGCGACGCTGTAGAGTCAGTCAGTCTTGTATGTGTTGCAAAAGCAAAAAAAAAATGACGCAAAAGCATGAATCGACCACGGTGCCTTTGAAAATGTTAGAAAGGCAGAAATCATTAACGAAGATAATACTTACGATTCGAACGCACAAATCTTTGGTGCCGAAAACCAACGCCTTAACCATTAGGCCACGCGGCCGTTCGTTATTTCGCTCTCAGAGCTTAATTTAAAAACTTAGAATAATATATATACTATTCATGTTTAAAAAGAACTTTTATCTAATCTTTCACGTATTAAATATATAGAATAACTCTTATTAACTTTTCTATCTTTATAACTATACTCTTCTATTTTCTTTTTTATATCTAAGATTATATTATATAAATTATATTCTAGCGTAATTCTCTATTAAATAAACTTTAATTCGATTCTTTATTTTTAAATTCTTATTAGAATATATATATAAGATAAATAATTAATAAATACTTTTTTATATTAAATAGCTTATCGAAGATCTTAATTTAATACTTATTATAACTTTAAGTTCTTTATTTAATTAATATATATAAAAGAATAAGATAGAGTTAAATTAAAAAATCTTATTAATATATAAAGAATATAAAAGAATAAGATAAACTAAGTTAGAAAATTTTAAATTTGATTAATTTACGCTTTTTAATTAAATATTAAAAGTAAATGAATTAATATTTATAACTATTAAAATATTCTTTTTCTACTTTTAACTATTTCTTAAATTTAATAATCTTCTATTAAAGTTTATTAGTTTTTTTTAAATTATAGTCTATAGCTTACGCTTTTTAATAGTAATAAAATTATAAAATTTAATTTTATAATAATTTAAAGATATAGAATCTAAATATTACTTATTAAAGTTCGCTTATTAAATTTACTCGATAGTTTTAAATAAAAAAAATTAATATATATTATTTAAATTTAATAAAACTTTTTTATTTTCTATTATATTACTCGTATTATTTAGAAGTAAGCTATCTCGCTTAATAGCGCCGAGAGAGTAAATTAATTAAACTACTTAGTTCTCCGCGAAAATTATAGTTTGACTGGTTAACTCTCCCGGCGCTATTAAGCGAGGTAGCTCACTTCTGAATAGTACGAGTATGAGATGCCTTAGGGGTACTCATAGGGCTACTAGCGTAGGCTTGGCACCGCACATATCTGTCCTGCAGGCACATAGAATAATCAACAACTTTACACCACACACATATATGAGTCAAACCATAATGATTCCTTAACAATTGGTAGCAACACCTTAAGATTTGTTAAGGAATCATTATGGTTTGACTCATATATGTGTGTGGTGTAAAGTTGTTGCATATATGAGTCAAACCATAATGATTCCTTAACAATTGTCAACGCTCCAAGCCAGCCCTCACATACACTCGTTGGTCATCGAGTACCATTTGACCAAAACCCCACGTCCAAATCGATCCTTTCGATAGGCCTATCGATATCATCATGCCTCATCCTACCCCAAGAGAACAGCAGCAGGAACAGCCAGCCAGCCAATCAGACAATACCCCACTCGCCTCGCTTCAGAAACAAATGACACAAATGATGGAAATGATGAGATCCATGTGTATAAGACTGGAAGCATTGGAAGCTCGATCTAGGCCTACTCAGCCAGCCGCTCAGTCAGCACTACCTACCCTATCAGCTCAGCAATCCACTCAGCAAGTCACTCAGCTAGCCACGCAGTCTGATACTCTACAAGAGGAGGAGCAAGAGGAGGAACTGCAGCAGGCAAATGCGGAGAACACTGCGGAGAAAGCAAGCGACAACAAGGCCACCATCAGCAAGAACACGGCTCAGTTCTCCACAATCCCACGTCATATGCTCTCCACGGTTCCACGTCAAATCGCCACTCAGCAGGCGGAGAACGACACTACAATTTGGCCTGCTATCTCTGCAAGCCTGGGCAATATCACATTGTGGTATATCACTGCAATGACGACACAAGAGGAGGATCTACTGCGACGATCACAGCCAATTGGGCCTCTGCAGGAGGACATCGGACGATGCATATTTGGACGAATTGAAACCGTCTGATGTCTTGCTCTGATAGCTATTTCGAAAGGTTTCACTGCGGCAGGAGAACTCGTGGGATTCACACCACTAACTGGCCTGGTGTCTCCATTCCTTTCCAGCATTTCGAAAACTCACACATGCATGCATACTTTTTGCCATGAGGACAGGGCATTTCTCTGGTTTTTGTGGGCAATTGTCATGAGATGCCTCAGGGATACTCATAGGGCCACTAGCGTAGGCTTGGCACCGCACATATCTGCCCTGCAGGCACATAGAATAATCAACAACTTTTACATCACATACATATATGAGTCAAACCATAATGATTCCTTAATATATTAATTAGGTTTTTTTTAAATTATAGAGTATAGATTAGATATTCTATTAATCTATAAAAATTAAAAATTAATCTTATTATTATTTAGAAAAAAAGAATTTAAAGATCGCTTATTAAAGTTTACTTATTAAATTTACTCGATAGCTTTATTTTAAAAAAATAGATTATAAAATTAATTTATAGACTTAAACTTATTAGTATATACGAGTAAAGGCCTATGAATTAAATTCATAACCATTTTTTTTGATCAGGGCTGTCGAGTAAATTTTAATAAGCGATCTTTAATAAGCGATATCTAAATTTCTTATCTCTAAATATCTATAAGACTAAATTTAGTAATTCTTTTTTTATCTAAAAGTCTATATTACGTTCTATAATTTAAATAAAGAATTTTAAAAATTTAATAGAAAATAAAAAAGTTATTTTAAAATTAAATAATATATATCTAATTAGAGCTATTCGACTGTCGAGCGAACTTTAATAAGCGATATTTAAATTTCTTACGCTTTAATACTTATAAGATTAAACTTAGAAATTCTTTTTTTATCTAAAAGCCTATATTTTATTCTATAATTTAAAAAAGAAATCTTAAAAATTTAATAGAAAATAAAAAAGTTATTCTATATGTTAATAACGTATATCTATTTTTTTAATAAGAAAGCTCGAGAGAGCTAGCGAGCTAACTTAGTCGGTCTAATTAAAGAGCGTAGCGAACTTAAATTTATAATTAACTATATATATAAATTTAAGATTTTATAGCTTAGCTCTATCTTATTTTATTATATATACTAATTACGAGTAAATAAATTAACGTTCGTAATTATTAAAATCTCTTTCTCTACTTTTAATTCTTTAATAATAATATTATTTTCTAATTAAACTTTCTAATTTTTCTTTTAAATTATAAAGCGTAACTTACGTATTTTAATAATTCTAAAACTTTAAAATTTAATCTTATAATTATTTAAAGATAAGAATTTAAAATATTATTTATTAAATTTCTCGATGATCGTAGTCTTAATTAAAAGAATAGATATATATTCTTTAATTTTAGAATAACTTTTTTTTCTATTAAAGTTTCTTAACTATTCTACTAAATTATAAAGAGTAATTTATACTTCTTAATAGTAAAAAGAATATAAAAATTAATCTTATTATTCTTTAAAGATAAAGAATTTAAATATCGCTTATTAAAGTTCGCTTATTAAATTTATTTAATAGCTTCTATTAATAAAATAGATATATATTATTTAAATTTCATATAATCTTTATTAATCTCTATTAAAATTTTATAGTTATTTTTTTTTAAATTATAGAGTTTAATTTATACTATTTAATTTTAAAATTAAGACGAGATAAGAATTTCGAGAAAGCTCGTTTTCTCGCTTCGAAATCTCATCGAAGTTCTCTTATTTTATTATATAGCGTACTCTCTAATTAAGAAATAACTATATTAGAAATTTTTAATTTTAATTTTATTTAAATTAACTAATTAAGTTAATTAAATATATTTATTTATTTATTTATAAAGATAAATATAAGATAGAAAATAAAATAATAAATATAAAATAATAAGACTACTAGCTAAATAAATAAATAAAGTTTAAAGCTATTTATAAAGATAGCGATATACGTAAAGAAAGTATAGATTTTTACTTTAATACGAGTAATTATCTAGAATTTCCTCTATAAGAAAATTACTTACGAAGTAATCTATAATTATTCTTTATAGTTTAAATAAATACGTATATAAATAATTAAATAATTAAATAATAGATTTATTATAATTAAGAAATATAAGTAATTAAGAAGAGAAGAAAAGAAATTTAATAGAGAATTTTTTTATAGAAGATTTTTATATAGATAATTTATTAGAGAAAATAATAATATAATATACTATCAAATCTTTATAATAAGCTTCTAAAAATATTTAAAAATAATTAATAAGAATTAAATAATAATAAATCGATAAAGATATAGATAGAAAAAATCTATTTAATATTAGAAAAAAATCTCTTTTTATAATAAGAGGAATAAGAATAAGAAGTAAAAAATAGAAGGAAGATTGTCTATCTCAGGCTCTTTCAATATGGCAGTCTCGGCTATATTGCTATATGTGTGCTCCGCCCCACTAGCCCCCATTCGAGCTGTGGCGATTTGTATCTCGGCGCTAACCTGTGAGTGGCGGAAATCCCATGCACGCAGCCGCTGTCGTTCAACTCCGCCCGCTTGTGAGGTTTGCTCTCTGATACATACTTTACTTGTTTGTTATCCAGCAGTGCTCGCTAATCCACAGGCTCCGAAAGACTGTTTCATGAGATTCCTAGGCATCTAAGCCTCACTATGTTCTGTAATTGGGCCTTCGTTCATAGCAGCTGCGCCACCCTAATTCAGCCTTGTCTGACATTTTTGCTTGCAATAAATTTCGCGGACCTGGCCCAGCTGGGGAACTCTTTTCATTAGGCATGACTCCAATACCTAATGGTCTTTCGATTGGGGATTACCAGGAACGCTTGAGTCGCTACAAGGACGCTGAAAATGAGAAGAATGCGATGATCAGTGTAAGCTGCCATAAAACCCTGGTTTTCTTTGTTCAGCTTACCAAGTGTGATGGTAGGAGCTCATCGAAAATCTGGACGAAGCTCGATCAGAATACAGACAAACGACTTTAGATCTGGAGAGTGAGCGTGTTGGGCGCCGCAGACTACAAGATCGTGTAGCGGAGCTTGAGACCTTGACGGTAACTTTTTCTCAATACAAAATCAACTTATGCTGACGAATAATCAAGCGT